TACTGGCTAGCCCGGTAACTAAATGAATCTGTTTGAATGCCTTGTTCTCTTATGTTACTTATCAGCTCTCAGATCCTGTGATTAAACCACGTAGCTAATGGCATAACCTACGAACTTAGTTATGCATGAAAAATTGTTTGACTGACCATAGGATACAAAAATACATTATTTTTACATATATAATTCATAATGTGACTAATTTATGACCAAGAAATGTAGCAACTAATATATAACTATAGTAACTAATTAATTAATATGCCACAATGTATATAGATGCATATAACTAGATTTAATATGTTTTTATAAATTTAGCGATTAGATTATTATTCATAAATAGTTATACATTTTAAATAGTTGCACTGTAAGGCACATAGCTGGGGTTTGTCGATTTCAAGATTGCTTTCCATTCAGTGTACATCCATTCAGTACTGGATTCACTGGGTTGCCAGGAAATCGAGAAGAGATGTAGTGACCTCATGACTGTGATTTACAAGGAATGCAACTGCTAGTGTGAATCTTCAGTAGGGCACAATCAAGTTCAAAATCAAAAAGGATGTTTGGCAGGGAGATGCAATATCACCAAATTGTTCACCGCAACCCTAGAAAATGTTTTCAAGATACTCCTTTGAGAAAATTAGGGCTGAAATAAATGGACACAACTTAAGCCACCTGCAGTTTGCGGGCAAAATTCTTGTCCTCTTAAGGTGACTAGAAGAACCGAAAAGAAAAATAAAAGTGCTGAACTACACTATCATAACAGTAAGACTAAAAATGAACCTGAAGAAGATACAGATCATCGTGAGGTATTGAAGGCATGGGACTTTGTCTTGAAGAAGTTGCAACTACTTTTGTCTGGCACAGCTATTCTCTGCAGCGGAGAAATGACCGTCCGAATTCAACGGAAGAATGAAAATGATTTGGATCACTTTTCAAGGCTGCAAATGTTCTTATCCGGGAAACTACCCTTGTGCTTGAAACAAATTTTTCGAAAAGTTTTGCTATTCAAAAATTGCGGAATACGAAACGCAAAACGGAAAGATGTATATCAGAAGTAATAAGAGAAGATATGAGGTAGAATGAACAAATAAGAGCACAGTCAAGAATCTGTGATTTCATATCTGGGTGAAGAATTTAAAATACGATACGCTGCAAGAAGTTCCGGCCGTTGCTGAACCAAAAGAACATCAGATTGGGTTCCAAGAGAACGAGATTCCGATTTGACACCCCACAGCAAAACCGATGACAGCATGAGCTGAAGAAGTTCGCTCGACTACGACGGAAGAAAGTGACCAAAAACTAAGGTTAAGTACAAAGTCTTGCAGAAACATTCATCTAAAAGTTGAGTGTCTGAGGTTGAGGATAATTACGATAATGCATGTAGCTAATGTGTTCAGTTTATTTGTAGCCAGTTAAAGTTTTTGGTTATTTCTATTGATATACTCTTGTTTTGCTATATGATTAATAATGTAAGTTACTAATTTGAGACTAACTAATAATATAAAATATGATTTGGCAAGTTATGAAATTATCGATTTGTACAATTTAGTCATTAACTGAATAATATGAAATATGTGTATGACTAATACTGTTTTATTTTTTAATTTTTGCGCTCTCATGAAACTGTTATAAGGTAGAATTACGCGTGACCGTATTTTGATTGTGTTATGTTTGACACGTTTATTATAATACTCAATTTGTATTTGATGTACGATGTCGTTTATTGATTGTGTTTGTTCAGTTTTGATATTATTTATTTTACTAGGTTCACGGTAAATTTTAGTGAGTTAGTCAGTGCTTAACAACAAAGAGATTAGTCACATTCTGCATTTCTAACTACTAAAATAAACGTACTTCAAAATGATGCTCATCCAGGGCGTGCAAAGGAGGCCGACCACTCTACTGGTGCAAACTTTGTCTTCTGTTTCCATCAGCTCTGTGATGGCTGCGGATAATGCTGAAGGGCTAGT